AACCGACCATACACTGGGGCACAAAACAAATCTCAACAAATACAAAAAGATTGAAATAATTCCTTTGTATCTTTTTAAAGGAGCTAGTTTTTAAAAACTAGCAGGCACAGAACTTCAGCAAATCGTGCCAGAAAAATGGAATATCCACATGTAAAGGAATGAAGCTAGATCCATATTTTTCACACTGTTCAAAATCAATTCAGAATGGAATGAAGACCTTAATGTAAGACCCGAAACTTAGAAACTGTGATAGGAAACCAGGTAAAACACTTTAAAAATATAGGTATAGGCAAAGACTGCCTGAAAAGGAACCCTAACAATTCAGGAAATAATTTCATGAATTAACAAGTGGAATTGCATGAAACTCAAAGGCTTCTGCACAGCAAAGGAAACAATCATGAGTGAAGAGGCATTCTATAGAACAGGAGAAAAATCTTTGCCAACTATGTATCTGATGGGGGATTAATATCTAGAGTATATAAAGAACTAAAAAAAAATCAAATACCCTCCCCAAAGAATCCAGTCAATAAATGGGCAAATGAAATGAACTGACACTTCTCGAAAGATGAATAATGGCAAATAGATACATAAAAGAGAAAAGCTCTGCATCCTTAGCCAGCAGAGAAATGAAAATCAAAACTTCATTGAGAGTCCATCTTGTTCCTGTCAGAATGGTTATCATTAAACCAACAAACGTCGGGGGAGGATATGGGGAAGAAGGAACCCTTATATACTGTCGACCACTATGGAAATCAGTATGGTGGTTCCTCAGAAAAGTGAAAAATAGAACTAGTCTATGATCTAGTCATTCCTGGGAATATACTTTAAGGAACCCAAGTCAGCATATTACAGAGACCCATGTTTATTGTGGCACTAGTCTCAATAGCCAAGTTATGTAATCAGCTATGTTCATCAATAGGTGAGTAGGTAGGGAAAATAATTATATATACATGGAGTTTTATACCATGGATGGAACTGGAGATCATTCTTGTGAAATAAGTCAGACCCAGAGAGACAAATATCACATACTTTCTCTCATATGTAGAACCTAGATTATATACGCATATAAACACAAACACATGACAGGAAAATAGAAGGGGTCACTATTTGGGAAGGGGAAGAGGATGGGGGAGGCAGGCAGGAGAGGGTCACAGGGAATGAATTAAACAAAAAGCTCACAGTGAGTCCCATCACTTTGCATGCCAAATGTACACTAATAAAATTTTTAAAAACTAACTTTGCTTAATTTTTTTCTTGTAGATGAGCTTCAGGGCAACATGATATGTTTCTTAGACTGTCCGCTGGGGATTGGGAACAGTAAAGAGGAGAAGCAGTCATTTTTAGTTTCCTCTTGGGCAGACACAGGGAAGGCTCAGTGTGGGGAGCTAATGAGGGACTCCTCAGATAGGAAGTTCAAGGTCTTGGGAAATAATCAGACTCAGATTTTTATCACCTGGGAGTGACCTTCCTCCCTTGCCCTATGAATCCCACCAAGTTCAGGACCAGCTGCTGACCATTTACCTTGGGTGCCATGGTGTTGAGGAAGAGATCCGAGTCTCCTAATTCCTTTTTCTTGTCTAACAGAGCATGCTCATCATTTGGGGGAACCACGAACACAAAGTGTTTCAGGACATCTGTGACAACCAAAGATTGCCGCTTTGGGGGATAAGAGATGATGGAGAACAAAGCAGGCGGTGGAATGGGTGGTCCAGAGGACCCTAGGCCCAAGATGTCCAGGATCTAAATGAAAGGTTTTGGTTAATTTCCTGTGCAGAGTATGGGCCAACTCTATACTCCTCCCTGAGTGAACACCTCCATGCACCCACCCTTTCCCTCAGTGTTCTTGGGAGAGCTTCCTGCAACCAAGGGAAGGAAGGGCTTCTGACCTGGCTCTGCTTGCTTTGCAGACCAGCCTGTGGGCTCTCGCTGTGCTGTGTGTTCCCTATGTGTCACACTTTATTATGAGTATCTGTCTGTCTTTGCAATAGGAGACACTCCATGAGGTGAGGACCCATACTGATATAGCACATGACCTAGCCCTCAAAAAGGCTAATTTGAACAGAACAGCTATTAAGGTTCTGACGTCTATAGAATATCAAACTGCTTCCATTTTCAGATCCTGTGTTAATTTTTCCTTAAACTAAACATTCTTTCTTTCCAAAGATAAAAAAGAGTTGGGAATGGGGGCAGGTCATATACAGCAAAGAGAAAAACTCTTTGCTGGGCAGGCTCCCACTGTGCTCTGATGCATAATACATGAATCACCTCCAGAGCAAAGGGGTTGGAAATTGAGTAGCAAGTTCCTTCCCAGCATGCAGAAGTCCTCAGCATGAGCATGTGGTATCTTCATTGTCATTACAAAAGTAAATGCTATATAGCCCATTCTGAGCTCTAAGTGCTCTGGTAGGCCTAGCAAATCAAGACATCTATGTAATCTTGTGTTGCCCATCCCACAGACCAGGGAGCTAGCAGCATCCTTAAATCGAACTGAAGTTGCCTCCCAGAACTTAGGATGCCCACAAAGCCATAAATTATTGGCACCAGTTGTTAAACCAGAGCCCTTCAAACAACCATCTAATTAATCTATGAGTTGGAATGTGGAGGGTGCAAAACAAGACGTTATTTACAAATGAACTGTTTTTCTAGACCTCCTCCCCTATCAATTCTTTACCTAAGCTTGGCCTTAAACAAGATTTGTGTTGAGTGAGGGTAGTGCTGTGTGTCCTTAAAGTGTCTTCTCCTTCAGACCCACTCTGGACCCACTAAAGCAAGATGGACTGTGAGGGCACATCACATCAATCTGATCTCATAAGGAATTGTTCTTACCCACCCCCCACCAGTACCTGCCATTCATTTCTCTTAAGCTCTTCCCTGCTTCTGAAGGTTTGAACTTCAGTTTCTGATTAACCAAACCAGAGGTCAGCAAACTGTAGCCCTCCCTGCCCACAGCCAAATACCACTTGCTATTTGCTTTTGTAAGTAAAGTTTTATTGGAACATAGCCATGCCCATTTGGTTGCATCTTGTGGGTGGTTGCTTTCACCTTCCCAAGAGGGAGTGGAGTTGCTGTGACAGGCAGACTGTGTGACCTTTGGCCTAGAATTTTGCTTTCTGGTCCTTTACAGCAAAAGTTAGTTCCTGGACAAAAGGCTGGACTACCTTCTCCCCCCAAACCACTGGCTAAGGCAGCTTTATGATTTAAGATACTTTTGCCAGTAGGAGTAAAAGGCTGCCTAGTAGATTAATTTCCATTTCTGTGGGAGGCTTTGTAAGAGAGATTTTGGAGTAGACAAGTCTCCTGATTCACTGGAAAGCACACCTGCCTCACTATCCTCTGGGCACTAGGGTTGTGAATATTAAAGATGAGCTCCATAGATGACTTTTTATGGAGTTGGAAGAGATTGGTGAAACTTTCTACGGATTTTCTTTTGCCAAGTGGAAAAAGGCCCCAGAGTCATTATTGTCTTAGGAGACATTTTCATAGTGGTTAGCTGGGTCCCCAGGCCTCTATGGTTGCTGCTTGTACCTGATCTCCCCTGGGCAGCTTGTTGCTTTCCAGGGCGTGCTTCCAGCTAACACCATCAAAGTCAGGAGTCTGGATGTGGATAAACGGCACCCCTAGGTCCTTCTTCCCTTCCTGCTCCTCTTCAGCGGCTTCTATTTCCCCATCGCTGCGATCCTCCATGGCCCGAAGCTTCTCCAGCCGTGCCCTCTCTGCCTTCTCCCTCTCCTGGCGCTCCCTCTCTGCCTTCTCCTTCTCGAGGCGCTCCCTCTCCCGGTCCTTGCGGCCCCTACGCCCACCACCACCGGAGGGAGCCTGGCGCTGGTCATCAGGCTCATGGGACACCTCCTCCATCCCTGGAGGAGGCATCTGGACTCCTTGCTTCCGGTCCCAGAATGTGAGGGTGTTTTGGACATCCTTCAGACACAAGTCGTAGATTTTAAATTTCTGTGCCAATTGCTTGTCAGCCTCCTTCAGGAAGTCCCCTTCGCTGTCCTCTTGCTCCTGACCGACAGGAAACCCAAGCATGTTATCAACCACAGGTTTCTTCTTGCTTGGTTCGTCCCTGTCAACTGCTGGCTGCTCTCTGACAGAAACTTTCCTCTCTATTGAGTCCATACTGAGTTCTGCTTTGGCAGCGGGGGGAACCTAGAAGGCAAAACACATAAAACAAGCTTAAAATGGTTTATTAAAGGCAAGGAAAACGGCACATGGGAGGGCAGAGCAACGGGGTGTTGTGGTTCACAATGGCCTTATAGGATCAGGCACTCCCTTGGATACCTAAGTTTGGACCTAAAAATTCTCTCTCTCTCTCTCTCTTCCTCCCTCTCCCTCTCCCTCTCCCTCTCCCCCCCCTCTCTCTCTGTCTCTCTCTCTCACACACGCACACACACTGTAAATGTATAAAAAGAATAAATAGGAGGGCTGGCAAGACAGTTCATCAGAAGTCTCAATACCTGAATTCCATCTTCAGGACCCGCATGGTAGAAGGAGAGAACCTCTCTCTCTCTCTCTCTCTCTCTTGTGTTTTGTTGTAGATCTGGGTCCTGACTTGCACATTTTGAGATCGGTGCCCTTGGCCTAGAGTCATTATCTGAAGGACCAATAGGAAAGACCAGCAAACTCCAGTTCTTTGCAAATGGTTTCTGGTGCCCTGGGAGAGCAGGCCAGAGAGTGTGGTGATTCAATCCTAGCACCATTGCACCTGTAGGGTCCTGCCAACTCAGCCTCTCTCTATATAGTGGGGTATCAGTCAGTACATGGATGAACTGTTAAAGATGAAATGTGCGGATACATACAAGAAGCTTGCAATAGTGCCTGTCACAGGGAAGGACTCTAGTAGCATGAAGTTACTAAAATCATAGAGTTTTTGTATTGCTGGGAACAAATGGGAATTTAGAATCTGGCCACATCCTTGACTGTAAAAAATATTAGAAACCAAATTGTGTTTCTTTTTTCTTACTGCCTTTTCAAATTTATTTTGTGGGGTCTGGTTTTTCTTCTCTCTTTAATGAAGTCCTTGGTTTCCATCACTTTGGGGTCATTCTTTTGGTGATCCCAAGCCCAGTCTAGTCTAATGATTACTGCTTGTAGTGTAGCCCAGTTCCAGCTCTCTCCCCTCTCAGTTCAGGCCTACTTTGAACACCAAGGACTGGCTTTCCTCTTCATTTTACTGAGCCTCTCCTATTTTACTTTTCCATCTTGAATGCAGCCCAGAAAAATGGCCACATGACAGTGCTGGCAGAGCTGCCTTACTGAGTAACAGTTCTAGCAAGAAAATTATGACAAGATAGGAACAGAAATGAACCAGAAAGCATGCAGTGGAAATAAGTCACAAAGGCAACAGTTGTTTCTTTGGAAAGAAAATAAAAAAGAAAAACTTTTTTTTTTTGAGATAGGGTCTCATGTAGCCAGTCTGGCCTTGAATTTGCTGTGTAGCAGAGGATGACTTTGAACTTCTGATCCTCCTGTCTCCACCTCCTGAGTTCTGGAATCACAGGCGTGTGTAACCATGTGTAGTTTTATGAGGTGCTGGAGATCGAACCCAGGGCTTTGTGCACAGGAGGCAAGCACTCTGTAGACTGAGCTATATCTCCATCTCTAAAAATGAAAAACTTCCAGTAAAATTGATCAAGAAAAATAAGAGAAGGGTATGAAAAAGTAACGTATAAGGATAATAATGAGGATATAACTGTAGATAACAGATGTTTAAAAGAGAGCAGGAAGTGTATCACCATGGATTATTTTATGCCAATTAACTAAAAAATATAAGATTGCTACTTTTTAAGAAAACTATGTATGACCAAGTTGACTCCAAAAGCAAAGGAAAACCTAAGCAAAGTTTGAGTCCTGGGCTGGAGGTATGGCTCAGCTTTTGAGTACTTGCCTAGCATTTGCAAGGACCTTGTTTCAGTCCCTAGTACCACAAAACCAAAACCCAACTCAAACCAAACTAACCAACCAACCAAACAAAAAACACACATCAAAACAAGGACAAAACCCTTGAATCCCAGAACAAAATGGTTTGATAATATATAACTTACAATGTGATTGGATTGAGGAAACAAATCATGTTACAAAATTCAATATCCACAAACAGGAGAGTCGCATAAAGCATTGAAAAGCATGTGTAAAGGCACTGGAGATCCATAAAGGCAGTAGCAAAAAGTTGCAGGCTAAGGTCTAGGTGAGGGTGAATGACAGATGAATGACAGAGAGGTGACCCACCATTGGGGGTGCATTTCTCTTAAGGGTATTTGTGGATGAAAGTGTGGGTGAGAGGCTGAGCAAAGTGTTTGAAAGACTCATGGGGCTGGGGTTTAAAGGTTAGCCTCCAGGCCTGCCAAGGGAAGAAGTACCTGTATGTCCCCTAGCCTGTGGGCCATGACTCTGAAAGGCTACTTCAGGAGTGAAGGTCAACCTCAAACAGCCCAGCCTTCCCAGGGACTAAGGCTCAGTTCTAAATGACCTCAATTCTGATTGCATCAGTACCTCTAGTGCTCCGAGACTAGCTGTTTACCAAACTCCCCAGAGAGCTATAATACCATCCAGAGCCTTTAATTATTTCTATAGTTTTTCTCTGTTCAATAAAAAATACCCTGACATTCAAAGAGACAAGATCATGCGACCATCAACAAAAGACAACAGAAGAGACTGGGATCTGTTTATTGGCACTCTCAGACAAGGACTTAAAAATATGCCTAATTTGTTGAGGGAATTACAAGACTGAGCACTTTGAAGATAAGTATAAACAACAAGGATTCATGGCCTTCCAATGCAGGAAAAATCAAGAATGGGAAGGAAGTTTAAATCACTGAAAAAAGACAGTGATTTAGACAACATGGCAGAAGAAAAATATCCAGTATGAGGCAGAAAGAGATGAAAGCATGCAAAACACAAGCACGAGAGACAGATGAAGTTTGAGAAAAATTTGCAAAAAGGCTTAGCATACATGAGATTAGAATCTTCCAGGGAGAGACGAGAAAGAATGAAGTAATTCTGAGGGGTTAGAGGCACAGGGCTCCTAGCCAATGGATTTAAGAGTCATTAGACACTCTAAGTAGGATGAAATAGATGGAAAACCACACCTAGGCAAATCACAATAAATTACTAAACAAAGAGACAACCTAAAAAAAGTTGAGACATTGTAAAGACAAAGAAAAGCATCTCAAAAGGAGGGAAGACTCAGACCAACTTTGGAGGAGCACAGGATACTGTACTAATGTCGCTACAGTGACAGGAAGACAAGAGAAGCAGCCTTCCTCTCCATCCTCTCATCTGGCTGGTCTTCTACCATGAGAGCCCTCCCTTGTCCTTTGAACTTAAGATCCTCCTGACTTACTCCCTTTTCTGCAGTATATTATGTGTGACTAGTAGGTAGCAATGAAGACATATATAGGATTCAGATTTTTGTTACTGTAACAATCTGAGGTAAACAGCTTAAGTGAGGAGCTTTATGCTGGCTCCTTGTTTCTGAAGTTTCAGGCCATGGTCACTTGGTTCCATGTTTCTGGACATACAGTGAGGTACAGCATCATGACACACACACACACACACACACACACACACACAGAGAGAGAGAGAGAGAGAGAGAGAGAGAGAGAGAGTAGAGGATGGTAGATCAACTCATGGTAATTAGGAGGTAGAGAGAAAGAGACAGGAAAGGTCCAGGGCTAAGATGTACCCTTCAAAGGCTCTCCTCAATGACCTACTTCCTCTAAACAAACCCTACCCTCCTAACAGTTCATATAGCTATCCAATTCTTTAGTAGATTCATCCATTGATGAAGTTAATATCGTCACGATTCAATTATTTCACAGGGACCCACCTGCTGGCAGCCATGCCCTTGACATATGAAGCTTTGGGGGACATTTTTAGATTCAAACCATAATGGATGGGATAAAACCACCAGCAAGAAGAGAAGAGGATGAGGCTGATACTAGAACTCTATGGAGGGAATTTTAGGGGCAAGGAGAGGGAGAGGGAGAGGGAGAGGGAGAGGGAGAGGGAGAGAGAGGAGAGAGAGAGAGAGAGAGAGAGAGAGAGAGAGAGAGAGAAGAGGGAGGAGGAGAAGGAGGAGGAGAGGGGGGAGAGGGAGACACTCAGTTCAAAAGTTGGCACAGTTTAGTAAAAACCACATAAAGAAGCAAGTGAAGGATTGAAATGTGGGTGTCTGATGCGGACATGAAGAGGCCACTGGAGATTTTGGAAGGGACAATGGAGACTGAACTTGGGGTAGAAAAGGTTGAAGCAGGAATGGGAGTTAAGCAAATGGAGCCTGAGAGTGGGGAAACATTTTGGAGAAAATTAATTATGAAAGACGAAGAGAAGCATAATGCTAATCAGGGAAGCACTGTAGTCAAAGGGGACTTTCTGTTTCAAAACTGTGTGATTCTCAAACACAAGAACATCTTAAAAGCCTGGAGGAATAACTGAAGCCATAGCAGAGAGAGGGAAATAGAGGGGACCAATGGCCCGAGAGATGCAGCAAGCCTTTGGATGGAAGAGCAAGAAGTTACCAGTCCTTCCTCATCACCTGGCACCCCTGATAGTTTTTCATCCCTGGAGGATGAATCTGGACTCAGCTAACTTTTCTGAGCTAGATCTTCAGACCAGGTCACTGTATTAGTCTAAAAAAAAAGTCTCAAGAATTCTTTCCAAGAAACATGGTTGATTGTGTTTTGGGCTAAGCTTAGGTGATACACAGCTTGCCATCAGGCAGATGACTGAGATATGGTCCCTCCCACCCAGACGAAGGTCATCAGATCACACAGGAAGGCACTTGCCCTCTATCTGGTAGTGGGGACATTGGAGGGGGCAGGTTCAAGTCATGGTCATTTGAGCTGAGGGAAAAGGATAAGTCCACATACTCTCACTTAAAACTTCCAGCAAAGTTCAGCAGGAGACTGATGATAAAGTTAGTGGACATAATTCCAGGTTAATTATGCTCTGAATAGTCTATTTTTTTTGATGGTGTACGAAATGTTATCTTTTAAAAAAGCAAGTTTGGGGGCTGGTGAGATGGGTCAGTGGGTTAAGACACCTACATCAAGCCTGACAATCTGAGTTTGATCCCTGGGACCCACATGATAGAAGGAGAGGACTCCTCCAAATTGTTCTCTGACCTCCACTCCTGTGCCATGGCACATGTGTGTATGTACACACACACAAAATAAAAATCTAATAAAAAATAAAAAGCAAGTTTAAAAATCAAGATAATCACAAAAATTCAATACCAAACTTGAGAAAAATTTAACTAATTAGTTTAATTAACTAAAAAGGAATAAAGCTTATGGGAAGCTACAAAAAATCAAGACAAATTATGCATAGATTATTTTGAACTTTTTCCAATAAAGAAATGGAGTTATTAGGGGCTGGAGAGATGTCTCAGCAGTTAAGAGCACCGGCTGGTCTTGTAGAGGACCTGGGTTTGGTTCTTAGCACCACATGGTTACTAACAACTGTCTGTAGCTCCAGGTCCGGGGGAATCCAACACCCTCTTCTGGTCCCCACGGACATTATATGACACAGGTGCACATACATACATGCAGGCATAATGCTCCTACACATAAAATAAATAGATAAAACTACAGAAGAAATGATTATTGATTAGTGAGGCTCCAGAGGCACCCAAAACAAGCAGGACTATTGGGATTGCTTTTGGTCATCCATCACAACTAGATGGTAAGACCCTATTGTGAAGCCACCACACATTTTGGTTGCGAGACACAGAGACATCAATCATTAACTGACCAGGAAACTCTCCTTGCTAGGCAGGCTGCTGCAGGAGAACAGACATCATGGTCTTATTCAGCACTGGACCCCGCATGCTACAGTAACAACCCTCCAGGCAGGATGTGCGTACTAGTGCAATACTGGCAAGGCTGTTTATGGGAGTTAACCAACCATTCTGTTAACTGGAGTTGAGGCCTGCCCCACCAAAATTCATGCATGGTACTGTAAACATTGCCAAAACAATGGCAAGGGAAGCCACAGGCCCTAGGGGAGAACCCACTGATGTTCCTGGAGGCAAATCTTTAGTACTGACCTAGTTAGCACCATCCAGGGTCCTGCAGCAGGCCAAAGAAAGAGCAAGGACTGTGGTAACACATTTCTGGATGGGGGTCCTCGGGCTCTGACTTTGTCTTTGTACCATGGGTGGGAATCATTGCACCCCTGAATTGGTGGAATGTCAAAATGCATGATTAGGTAAAGCATAAACTCAGCATCTACATGTCAGTGCGTGACAGTGCTGGGCTTGATCCTTCTACCTTCTGCCTCATTACAAAACCAAACATGATTGGTCCGTTTTCTGGCAGGCAGAGAGACTGCCATTGGTTTACGAGTTACGGTGGTTTCCCGGCTGCTTCTTGGTAAGGAGCCGGTGAGGGCTGCTACCTGCTTATTTGTGAAGGCTTGGGTCTTCTTCACGGGGGGCTCCTCCTTCATGGGGCCCGGCTTCGGCTTTTTGATCTTTCGTTTCAGCTCATCTTCTTCCTTTTGCCGCTCGAGTTCCTGCTGCAGCAGCTTCTCCTGCATCTCCCTGGCCAGCCTTTCCTGCTCCCTTCATGAAACCAGAAAGAGGAAATAGATGTCAGGGCCTCCTGTCCCAGCTGCCCAGTCAGGACTGCCAGGAGAGACCCAGGGCAGAGCTTTCTTGGAAGGAAAGAGGAGCAGGAAGGAAGGGAAGAAGGAAGAAAGAAAGGGAAGGAAGTAGATAAGGAGGGAAAGGACGGGGAAAGGAAGAAAATTAAGTGGCCACAGCAATCCTTGAAAGGCCATTCAGTAAATCTCTAATTCAACATAACTAGAAGGATGTTTTAAATTGATCTGTGTTTCTATTCCTATCCCTTTTTATTGGAAAGACAAGGGCTGGAAATAACCTTGATGTTAAAAAAATCTTTCAAAGAGGGCTGCGATATTCATACAAGTGTAGTCCACCCTCCTACGCCATCAAGTTAGTGTTCAAACCTTAAGGAATCCCATTTTGAATAGCAGTCTCTACAATGGTTGGGTGGAGCCACGATGCTGGCTCTGAAAGAGCTGGTCCTCTTTGCCTCTTTTTCTTTCCCTTTGTGTGCGAAGTCCCTGTGACTTCAGCTATGTCTGCCCCTGCTGCTAACAGCAGACAAAGCCAGCCACCACATGTGAAGAAGTGAGGAGAGGGGACATCTAAAAATACCTAACCCCCAGCTTTAAAAAAAATTTTTTATTGAACTTTTGCAATTTTCATACAATATAATTTGATGGTATTTAGCTCCCTTCCCCATCTGCACCGCCCCTTTTGCAAGGAAACAGAGTTTTCTGGACAGCTGGTCTGTTACTCATATGAACTCACAGCAATAGTGACTGCAGGCATAACCCCCAGCTTTTAAAACTTTGGGTCACAGCCCAGTATGGGATTGCATAACTGAATGTGGGGGTTGTGGAAACTTTGGCAATGGTAAAAGGTTTCTAAATGTATAATGACCAAAAATCAATTCAAAATCAAATGAGTAGTGAACCTGAAGTATTTCTGGAAGGGATTGCTCACAGTGCATCTTGGGACTTCCTGCAGCCTGGTTCTCAACATTTAACGCACACACTTTGCACTGCACATGCTGTCACACCATGCAGTACCAAGGAGTGCTGCTTGAAACACCTTGGTTTGGATTCTAGACTGTTGTGTGTTGATAACTGAAGTGTTTTTACTGTACAAACGAAGTTTTCTGCTTTCATAGAAGCATAATTGCTTATTTATAGAAAAGGAAGACTTAATATTTTCCTGTAGTCATTTGTTAGCAGGCAAGTATCATATCAGTGTATCTTTGGATTATATTGTGCTAGAATGCTTGATCTTTAAATTTTGCTGTTTGAAGGGGCTGGAGAGATGGCTCAGGGGTTAAGAGTGTGTGCTGCTCTTGCAGAGGCCTGGAGTTTGTTTCCCAGCACCCACACGGGGAGGCTCACAACCACCTGCAACTCCAGCTCCAGGGGATCTAATGCCTCTGGCCCCTGCTGGCACCTGCACTTCATATGCACATACTCACCCCCTAAACACATGCACATATACATAATTAAAACTAATAAAAATTAATCTTTTAGAAAAATTGCCATTTGAGCTGCTGACTTGAATTTCTTTAAAAATCATTAATTTTGACTTGAGATTAGGATAGAATTTCTAATAATTTTTGAAATGGTGCTAAATAGACTTTTGACACTTTGTATTAGATATTTATTTGAAAGTGTGTTCTCAGAATTTATGATTATAAACTCAAAATATTAATCAACTGAAAAATGATAAAGATGCTTTATTTTTTGGTATCAAATATTCAGGCAAGATTTAATTCTTTACATTAAAATAAGAAAAGTGGTTTGGATGTGGTGGTGTATGCCTTCAATCCCAATTGGGAGGCAGAGGCCAACCATGTCTACATATCAAGTTCCAGGTCAGCCAGAGCTACGTAGTAAGACCTGTCTCAAAAATAGGGATATCTATCTCATTAGCATGCAATTTACTGTTGTATTTAATTTGTATATAATTGGTAAAATTATATGTATACTAAAGAATTATTTTAAAATAATTTTGTTATGGTTTATATCAGTAAACGTTTGAGTTGTATATATTGATTTACCCACATACTCTGAGGTCATAGGCAAATTTTTTTAGGCAAACAGGGTTTGAGAGTGAAAAAACTTGATTTCACCCATCTTTTTTCATTTCCAGGAATCTCTAGTTGCACAAAATAGCAGTGGCTCTCTGTCTACTGTGGCTCTGTGTGTGTGTGTGTGTGTGTGTGTGTGTGTGTGTGCGTGTGTGATAAACAGCCCAATGATGAAGTTTGGGGATCAAATGTGCACCACAAAGTGAATGTATAAAGGCAGTAGCCTTGGTGACAGGGGAGGGTGTTTCCTGGGGTGTCCCAAAGCTAAGCTTGCTATGCCCCTGGAGTAATGGACATTTCTCCTGAGCAAGAGAAAGAATGAGGGAATATCATGAAAAACAAGAGAAAATGTCTTTCCGTGTCAGTAATGGAGTCTGGAGGTAGAGGAAAAGGAGAAAATGGGGTTATGTTGTGGCTGAGAACTATGGTTCTATTCCTCTAATGCTGGAAGCCTCAGAGGATAGGTAGGCACTAACACTGCCCAATTCTGTGACATCTGAAGAGTTGAAGGATGTCTCTGAGGTAGCCTGAGCTGGCAGCCCCAACTTTCTGGAGTGTTAGGTAGTGTGGAGGGATCTAGTTCCTGTGGGGTCTCTAGTCAGGAACATAGGAAGTGACTGAACTGCTTGGCTGTGAGCTTGCCCTGGGTCTCAGGAAACTGTCCAACCTGAAGATCCCAGGCAGAGGCAGCTAGACAGGGGCTTACGAAGTGGGAAGATGACTAAACCACCATACCTTTGTCAGCAGAGTGGTCCCTGGGTCATTGCAGACACCCAGGCAAGGAGGCCACTAAGTCCCACCCAGAATTCATTCTCTAGGCAGCCAGTGGGACCCTGGGTCAGCACAGGAATCTGAAGTTTCTCCCCAGGACCAGCTATGACACTGTAGAAGTTTCCTCCAGGTCCCAAACTCTCCCAGCAGATGGGAATAGGAGACATCCTAAAAGTCTGTAGTTACTAAGATCCTGGAGTAGCCAAATGGGTTCCCCACTCTCTCTTCAGGTCTGTTGTTGTTGGGAAACCCTGCTGTTAGGGTTGTAGTTCTCCATGTCTGGATAGCCCTAAGGGGCTCAGCGCCAAATGGAAGGACTCCCCTTTTCAGCAGGGGGCCTCCTGCTCTCTTCCTGGCTTACCTGGAAAATGCCACCAAACACGGACCCCTGACCTTATTTGGAACATGACCTTTGGCATAGTTACCTGGAGTAAAAACTACCCCCAGGTTTTTTCTATATGATAATCAGGCCTTGCCTGATAGTCTGCCGATAGGAGCCCACTGCCACATGTAAACAAAGCATACTATGAGCACCTATCAGCTGAGGCTTTGGCTACTGCCTCCACACTATAATTTCTCTAGTTCTCCCACTGAATAAACGGAGCTGTTTTCACTGAATCACTGCATCTAGAGCTGTTTCTGTTTCACTGCCTCGTGGAACCTGCCTCCCCGGAAGGGCTTTCTCCCGTCAGTGCTCACTGGCCGTCCTGACTCCGCTCGTCGCTTCTGCTCCCCCTGCCCTCGTGGACCGGTGGCCAATGACCCGCGAAGAGAGGGAGAGACCCCCACATGTTGTGACTACTGCTGTCCTCCCAGAAGACGACCCAAAGCTGAGCATGTGTTCCACCAACCCAGGTCTCCCTCTGAGTCCCTCCCAGACAACAGCTCTGCTCTGGCCAGCCCTTGGTACCACCTCTTCTTCCTCTCCCGGAGTGCCTTCCGAACCTCTCGGTCAAATCTGATTTTCTCTTCTGGCGTTAAGGCATCATATTCTTCCTCATCCAATGTTTGGAGCCGCTCCTTCTCTTTCTCAACAGCTTCCTTGCATTTGTGCTCTGTGGGGTGAGAAGAGAGGAAGTCAAGGCCTTTAGAAGTTTAGCTCTGATCCCATATAGTTTGTGACAGCAGGAGGTGGCAGGCAGGTGAATGGTATTCCCAGTCTCTGCTGGTATTCCTTTATCTCCATAGTGCCAAGGCTGGGGTCCATCTGTGGGTGGCTGAGTGGTGCTCCCTAAACACACTCATGTTTTAATCCTTGAACTTGTGAATATGCTACTTTCCATGGCAGAAGGGCTTTTGTAGATGGGATTAAATCAGGGCCTTGGGTTATCTGGGTGACCCAGTCTCATCAGAAGGGTCCTTTAAGAGGCAGAGTCAGAGAAGAGGGCTTAATAGAAGCAGAGAAGTGATGAGGTTCTAAACGACAAGGACTGCAGGGAAGGGACATGAGCCAAGGAATGCAAGTGGCTTCCAGAAGCTGGAAAAGGCAAAACGGATCCTCTCCTATCCTAGTTGCCAAAGACCCCCAGCCCTGTTAATTCCTTTAGAACCTTTGACTCCAGAATTGTAACATAATAAATCCATGTGGTTTCAACTCACCAAATTTGTGGTTATTATGATCTGAATGTTTTTCTTTTCTCCCTAAATGCATATGTGGAGATGTACCCCCCATATGATAGTGTTAAGATGTGGGGTCTTAGGAGGTGAATAGGTCATGAAGCTGGGGCCTCATGAATGGGATTAGTGTCCCTTGCCTTTCCCAGCAGGTCAGGAATCATCAAGAAGACACTGATTCTGACCAGAAGATGGTCCTTTGCAGACACCAAACCTGCGTCAGACACACATTCAGCCCAAAGACCACCAAGACAATGAAGAACAGCAATTTCTTTCAAGCTGATCATTACGGAAAGATGGACGTTCTGGCGATTGAGATACTACAAAGGAGGCTTGGTCTTTGTTCTGGAGTGAGGTTATCAGAGGTTATCAGTCTAAGTGAAGGACAGCAGTGTGGTCAGGACAGAGTTCTCCAGGGCAGGCCCCACCTCCCAGGGAGTGCAAGCAGCAGTGTCTAAATCCCCTACTATAGGCCAAGCTCTGTTGATCTGCCTCTTACTAAATTATGAATTCAAGTCACATTATTCTATGTTGTATTTATTTCTCAATCAAATCTTTCTGTAATTAGGATTTTTTTTGTCCAGTTTATTGGGGGTAATGACAGAACAAGGAAAGATTTTAGACTTACATAGAACTGATTCTCTTATGAGTGTATCTATCTATCTATCTATCTATCTATCTATCTATCTATCTATCTATCTATTATAATTTATAATTATCTATCTATCTATCTATCTATCTATCATCTATCGATCATCTATCTATCTATCTATCATCTAATCTATCTATCTATCTATCTATCTATCTATCTATCTATCTATCAATCATCTATCATCTATCATGTATCTGTATTTTTTAGAAAGAATCTTGTTATATAGGTCAGGCTGGCCTTGAACTTGTAAACTTTTTCCCTCAATATCCTGAGTGCTGGGATTACAGACCTGCACCACCACACCTGGCTGTCATATGATCATTGTTTGTTTGAGACAGGATCTCACTGCCTGTCTCTGGCCTGGAACTTTCTATGTAGACCAGGTTGACCCTCAAACTCACAGAAATCCACCTGCCTGTGCCTCCTGAATGCTGGGATTAAAGGCATGGGTCACCATGACTGGCCTGCCGTGTGATCTTGACTTCTACTCTGTCTGGGCTTTATTCTCCTCCCCTGTAAAATGGGTCAATAGTCTTCACAGGGTTACTGTGAGGACTCAATAACCCAAAGTGTACAAAATGTCTTATACAGTGTCAGGTGCACAGAATCCTACAATGTAGAGGTTGTTTTGTAAATTTACCAGTCCCATTAGTTTTAAAGGAAGGGGGTAGTTTGCTGAAACCAAGTCAATAAGCAAAACATCCTGGGTTAGGATGTCCCCAAGGTGTGTTCTCCTGAGCTCATTTGTAATTAGAAATTGACAGGGTACAATGTACTATTAGGAAAGAGGAAGGTGTCTGCTGCAGGGAGCTGGGTTTAGCCTTCGTTATGAACCCAATAACAGGCTGCTTCTGTCTCAGGCCTATCATATCAGATAAGAGACCCTGGTCACCTCTGAGATACAACTGTAAAAATGTCAAGTAATCCCAGTGGATTCTCATATCATGGAAACAGTGGAAAGTGCAGGAAACTCCTATTGGGCTTGGGAAGGCTAGGAAGTGGGGTGGGGCCTTGCCTTCTAGCTCCTTTTTGGCTTTCTCCTGGGCCTTCATGGCTATGTAATCCTGGGCCATGTTGAGAACGTAAATGTGCTCCCGGCTGCCGATGGCCTTCAGTAAGCAGAGGAGGGCAGCCGGTGCACTCCGAGCAAACAGTGTGTCCAGGCTATCAAACACCACCCCTTGGAAGCAGTCGCTCAGCTGAAGGCAGAGAGAGCAAGATGGTTACCAGTTGTTCTACGGAGAAACAGTTTGTTCTTTTGCTGGGTTCTGCAGATTTACTGGGTCCCCAAATAAGCAGCGTGAAACCAAATCTGAGGTGCTGGCATGAAATAAAAAGAGATCATTACAGGGCTGGAGAGATGGCTCAGTGGTTAAGAGCACTGACTGCTCTTGCAGAGAACCCAAGTTTGGTTCTCAGCATCCACATGGCAGCTAACAACCATCTGCAACTCCAGTTCCAGGGGATCTGATGTTCTCTTCTGACCTCCGAGGGATTGCGTGACACAGGTGCACTTACATACACGCAGGCAATACACTCATACACATAAAATAAAAATAAAAAATCAAATATTTTAAAAAAGAGGTTTACATAAAATTCCTACACCCTCCAAATAAGTGCATGTGAAGACTAAATATCTAGTCAGCTACAAAAGATCCCTCTGGAACATAACTGTAGAGCAAAGGATTAATTTTGTCTCTGTAGGATAAAGGAACAAAGAAAATGTCAGAATTAGGGTCTAGAAAGATCTATGAGGTGTATGAAAATAAGATGCAAAGAAAAAAAAAGAGTTCTCCAGCCCAGAATAACAGGCAGCAAGAAGAGTAATACTGCATGGGTCACCTACGTTTTTCTTTTCTTTCTGTGTGTATGTGTGTTTGCGTAGGTGCACATACACATGTGTGCACATATATGTGAATGCCTGAGGAGAACCTCAGAAATGGTCTACTCTTTTTTAAAGAGTCTCTCACTGGGACTCAAGGCTGGCTGGCCAGTGAGCTCTGGGATCCTCTTGTGTCTGCCTTCCCAGCTCTGCTATTAGAAGCACCTGCCGCCATACATGGGTTTTTATGTAGGTGCTGGGGCACCCAACTCAGGTCCTCATGGCTTACTCTGGCAAGCACTTTACTAACCAGCCTGTCTCCCCAGCCATGTACTTTCTTTACTGGTTTCACTGCCTCGGAGTGCAATGATCTTGGCAATATTAACCACTGAAGAGCAGCTTCTACCGCAATGCAGCGCTCCTCAAAGGAGGGCTATGCTGGCTAACTAGACTAGCCAGAATTGGTGACCTCTGGGTTGAAGTGAGACCTGGACTCAATGAATAAAACGTGGAGACCAGTTCAGAAGATACTCAACATCAACTTTGAGCATCCACCTGCATGCACACACATGTGAACACACCCCCCTGCACACAGGTGCTTCCCACATGCAAACATGCATGCACATACAACAAATTGTTCAGTTAATAGCAGCCCAGTTTGTAAAACCAAAGCAAACATACAACTGCAACTCCAGGTCCTAGTGAGCAAGGTTTACAGGTCTCTGTCTGAAACCATAAGCAACACACAGGCTTATAGGACATTCCTAAATCCTGCTGGTCTTGTTTTCTTTAACAGCAGAGCATTTTTACCAAAAAATGTGTGTGCGTGTGTGTGTGTGTGTGTGTATGTATGTATGTGTTGCTGGGAATCAAACTCAGGGCCTTGTGCAAGCCTAAGTAGGCATGTACCACTCAGCGACACAGCTCTAGTCCTCCAAATTAAAAAAAAAATGAACATGTTGGTTTTTGACCTTAAAAGCAATAACACCATTATAAAAGAATTCAGGGAGAGTTGATTTTCTTTAAGAGAGAGACTCTAGATAGGCTGACTAGATTCCAGTGGATAAACTTGCACTGGGGGCATCTGGGTACATAAACTTTACTCCATAGGCCCTAACATATATGACAGAATACATGAAATCCAGTGTGGGGGGGTGGGGTGTGGTGGGGGTGTGGATGGGAGAGGGGGTATAAAGATGATTAAGATATGTTGCATGAAATGCACAAAAATTCAACAAAAATATACATAAAAATAATTCAGAAATGTGAAAGATTAAAAATCTGTAGACTGTTGGGCAGGATGGCGCATGCCTTTAATCCCAGCACTCAGGAGGCAGAGGCAGGCAGATCTCTGTGAGTTAGACTTCAGCCTGGTCTACGTAGCAAGTTCCAGGTCAGCTGGGGCTACAGGGAGACCCTATTTCAAAAAAAAAAGGACAAAAATATCTGTAAACCATTAACCAAGCAGAACAGTTAATATGTACTTTAGGAGTTTGTCCTTTGTACATGACATTATTTGTAAATGTATGAAACACATTTTGCTTTATATAGTCTTTTATAACTTTACATATTGAAAAATATTTTGGGGACTAGAGAGATGGCCCAGCAGTTAAGAACACTCACTGCTCCTGTAGAGGACCCGGGTTTGGTTCCAAGGACCCACATGGCAACTCGTATACACTTGTAACCCCAGTTCCTGGGGATCTGATGTCCTCTTCTGACCTTTGTAGGCACCAGACATGTTGTGGACACTAGGCATGCATATGGCACACAAACATCCATGCAGGAAACCATTCATACACATAAAATAAAAATAAATCTAAAAAGTTTAAAAATATTTTACCGCAATTTACATAGCTTCAAGGTCTCATGATGAAACCCAACATGCCTCAAATTCATAATCTTCCTGTCTCAGCCCCCTAAGTGCTGGGTGTGCATCACTACACCAGGCAAATTCTGGCTTTTAATTGCTCACATCATTATTTTAACACACTGCTCTTTCTGTTTTATTTTGCTTTTCAATGTGTTTTCTTTTGTTCTGTGGCTCCTTAACGAGAGGAGCGGCAGCAGACCAGGCAGACGTCATGAACAAGAGCTGTGTGAAGAAACACACTTTTCTTCTTCGAGGCCCCTGGGCTCTGAGATGCTATGGTAGCTGAAGATGATCTAGAGTCTCAGCTCTCAGCCTGGGTCAGTGTGTGAGTTCCAAGCCTGCACGCACCTGTATCCTCTCAGCCAGGATCTGGATAAGAAGGTCATCAGGGAGCACACAGCTCATCAGCCCTGTCTCCCCTCCGATACTGGTGCTGACACTGAGCTGGCGCTGGGTAGGCCCCTGGAGGAGAGGGCTGGAGGGGATCTGTTGAGTGGGAGAAGGGCCAGAAGTCAGAATCCAGCTTTGTGTGCCAACAGCTACACCTATAAGCCATATACCCTCAAGAAAATTCATACAGCCCCTGGAAGCTCCGTCTCTATGAGGACTGCATTGTATAATACAAGATCCCTATTTTCTTTCAAGAATCACTGGTAGCCTTAAGAAAGGCTATTATGGGAGGGTCTTTGCATATATCCTGAACTGTATGCAGCTATTTATCTACTCAACAAATATTTATTGAGCTCCCATCATACACCAGGCCTCGGGGACTAGGGATCTAGCAACAAGCAGGGCTGACAATGGTGTTGCCCAATGACACTTATATCCTCATGGGATGCATGGAAAATGAGCACTTTAATGTAAGAATCAGTAATATAACTTTGGGTAGTGAGGCGTGTGATGAAGAAAGTGACTAGGTACGGGAATAAGGAGCAGTGATGGGGTTGGGGAATGGCTATGGAGAGAGGATGATCTGATCATATTACCTGGGTGAAATGAAAGACTAAGACAAGATCTAGACAAAGGCCTTTCTGAGAGGGAGCAGCAAGCTGCCTCCCATGAGTGTGTTTAAGATGTTTTGGGAGCACACAGGAGCCCAGTGTATCTGGAAACAGGTTAAGCTACAGGGAAGGTGGAGTGGAGGTGGGGATGGATGTCTCAATGGAACAGTGAAGGAGAAACTGGGGGCAGCTGAGGCAGAGGAGGCAGTCAGCACAACCATTCTTTGGAAGAACTACAGTGAAGGAGATTTAGGGGATGGATGAATTAAGGGTGGGAGGGGCATGTGAGGTCATGTGAAAAAAGGAAGCATATAATAAAAAGAAGGAAAAGGGGAGAGCAAGTACAATGTAGGAATTCAGTTTTGAGTAAGGGGAAGGGGTGGGGCCCAGTGCACAGAAGGACCAGAAGGGATGAGAGCAGGGGCAGGTGCTGTACTTGTCTTCTTGCTACATACTCCATGAAGGCAGCAGGGGTCATAAACTGAGAATGAGGACTAGGAGAGTATCTTAGCAGTCAGGAGAGGGAGGAGGGCCGCAGGATGGTCATCTTGAATGGAGGGTCAATTTACTAGGGCACAAATTTACTATGAAATTCATGGTATTACACTTAAGTCTATTGAAGAGAGATGAGTATTTTTATCTGGCTATGATCTGCTGTGTATGGAAAGGCAAGTTGACTGGGGGTGGAGAATGCCTGGAGAAAGTGATGAAGGGGGAGACACAGGGGAGCATGCACAGTGGTGGACCATGGGCTCTAAATGGAGGAAGGATAGTGAGGCAGGCGGTAGGCAGAGAGAATGCGGACTGGAGGTTTCTATGGGACCAATTACTAGCCAGAATAAGTCATCTGGAAAATTTATTTGAGGATGGTTGTCAGAGCGTGGCATGTGTGACACAAGGATGGTGGAGTTTATGGGCTAATGATGACCAGCGTCTAGGATATGGTCATGCTAGCAGGTAGTTAAGGAGGCCATGGGATTGAGGGGTAAGAATGCTAGATGAAGTACTATACAAAAGAGGATTTCTAACTGGTAAGTTCCTGGGGAAAGTGTCTTGTAAATAAAAGATATTATATTACAACTATATCTTTATTAAACAACATATTAAACATTTCTTCCCATTCGCAAGACAAACAGAACTGATCACAGTTGTTGGAAGACTCAGAGCTTCGAGAAGACTGAGTAACCATGTCTTTGGGATAAAGTTCTCTGACGGGAAACCCTGTTGTACAAATCATTTGAGTCTTGACACAGTGAGCAGTGCAGGCTTGTGGGGAGATTATGAGCTCTGATTTCTACTCTGACTTTCAGGTCTCTTATTTATCGAATGAAGGTTAGAACAAGAATTGGGATTTTTTTTTCTGTTGTCCTTGGAATATTCTAAGAAGCCTTACTTCATTCCTAGATGGACAGAACTCAAACAAAGAAAATTTACCATAATATTCTCTTTGTAAACAAATATATGAGTCTCAGTGTGTATGTAAACATCTGTGTAAAGAACATCACTCTAGGTCCTGGAAAAAGACGGTTAAACGAATGGTGTTCCCTAAGAAAATGAGCCAATGGTTTCAATTTAGAATTAAGGATGAGCACAAAACACACTTATGGGAGAAGTGAAGATAAGTGACCTTGTTGGTACAAATTCAGCCCCTTGAGATGCTCCATCCAATCTTTTAGGTCTCTTCTCTCATGAAGACTTCTGCTCCATCCCCTCTCCCATCTGACATTGAAGTCTCCTCTCCTATCATGACTCAAATATTTACTCCACCCAATTTGATGCTCAGTTTTCCTTTCTTGTGAAGATCTACAACCCTGCTCTACCCATCCATCCATTCAATGCACGGCCTCCTCCGTATGAAGGTCTTCACCTACGTCCACCCACCTCATTAACCTACTTTGGAACATCTGTTGCCTACACAGTAATAATCTCTGACTCCAGCAAGGCCTAAAAATCCTGAGCTCTTCCTGTTTCCCCAACTTTATGTCTTCTTAATTCCTTCTGTACCTTGGCTGGGCTCCTCCTGCTGATGTCATTTCACTGTCTTGCCCCTGGTTCTGAACACACTCACCCTTGCAATGACAACTTCTTTCCCTGTCTCCGAATCAAGTCTGCCAGAGGTCATTTAGAGAAACCTTACACCTGTGAGGTTATGGTTTCTAGTCTTGGTTGGGCCACCAGTGTTCTCAGCTACTTTTTCTTTGTCCCACATCAGTTCCTGGTTATGTCCCTCACAGTGGAGACGTCTGTGCTCTGCTACTCCCCTCCACCATATGCATTGCTTCCCGTAAAAGACTGCACCTCTTGCACACATCTCAGAGCCATTCAGTAAGTCCTTCTGCAACCTCCACCCTCCATCTTGCTTCTCTGCCCTATCTGTTATTTTAACTGTTATGAATCCCATAGGAGGCCAGTATCATCTGTGCTTAATTCTGCCCTTCCTTCCTTGTCCTGGAAGTTCATTCCCTCTAGGGTGGGCCTTATCCGTCTCCACGAGCTTATTCCTCTTCCCATCCCTCCTGTCCGTCCATCCATCCATCCGTCCGTCCATCCATCCATCCATCCATCCATCCACCCATCCATCCATCCTTTCTTCTTCCTTTTTAAAGAAAATAAGAAAGCGGTTTATTCTAAGCCAAACATGAACGTTAGGAGCTTGGGAACACAGACTGAAGTTATCCTGAAAGACATGTTCCCAGAGCTCCTTTCCTGATAGACCCACTTATGCCTTTCTAGGATTTGACTCTCTTGACCTCGGATTTGCCCCTCTAACACCTTCTTTTTCCCTTTCCTTTCAAACATCTTCAAGGCTTTTATTTATTTGACATCAATTATCTACCTAACTTGTTCTTCACTTTGCTCGTATGGCTCTGGCTTTAGCATTGCTTTTTGCCAAGATGGCTCTTCAAGTCCCTTGGCATGTGGCTCAAAACCTGTGACTTCTTTATGACTTACCAAAACTTTTTCTATAGCCTATGTCACTTATATTAATGGTTTAATCCTTTATATTCTTTAATACTAGGTTGAGTCATAGGATATTACTGTTATGGAGTTCTAAAATGGTTGAATATTGACCATTTTTCCTATGGCTCAACCAAGTTTCTTTAATACCCATCTCCTGTCACTGATCTTATTTTATGTCAGATAACTTGCAAGTGTGAACATCTCCCTCATCAGACTTTCCATCAGTGTGGCTTAAGTATGAGATCTTGCTTTCTTTACCTTTACTTCCTTGGCACCCAACACAGAGCCAATAACAGAAAAGCTGCTTTCTGAGTACCAGCTGGCTGAGTACTAAGTTCTGAAGGAGTGGTACAGGCACACGGCTGGCCTGGCAAGGACATCATAGAAACAGAGGGTGATGGCCTGGCTGTAGGATGTCAAGAAGGAAGAAGGGTTCTCAACCCACCTCCCAGGGAGCCCAGTGTACCTGTGGTGTTTCAGACTGGTGCTGGTGCTGCTGCTTCTGAGACCCAGACCAGTGGCTCTCTGCCTTGCCTTTAGGGAACAGTCCACTCCCACGTGCATTCTTTCCAGTTTTGAATTCTGAGGCCACTAGGGTGAGTTCTGAGGTAAACTTTCCTAAGTTCTCAGTGCTCAGTTGTGACGGTGCCCCGATGTTTTGGGTTATTGAAGACTCCTGGGCTATTAGGAGAAGGTGAATTTTTAGTAAAAGCCATCTTACAATAAGAAAGAAATGATAGTGAGATGGTACCTTGAAATCTATGTTATGCTCTTATGGAATACAGAGCCATCTTCACATGCAGCTGACTGACCTGGGTGGAAGAAGAGGCTTCATCCACTGAGCATTGGACAATAGGTCAGCCGAGAGCTCCAGTAGAGATGGGTGCCTGAACAGAATCAGCTACATAAATTACTCTTTCCTTCCCATTCTGTCAATAGGTCCTGAATTGGTCTGTGCCCACTTTCTCTTCCAACCCAGAGGCCAAGAATTTCTTAAGTTGTGTATACACTAAGGCCCTGCCTGGAGAACCCACCATTTGACCTTTTGAGACTTTGGCAGTGGTAAGGCCAAGGAATAAATAGCTAGGGCCTGGCCTTGTCTGCCAACAGCAGGACCACCCAAATGGGAAACGAGCTAAGCAGGAAGTGTATGACTACTGGTAAATATGACTTCATGAAGATGGTTAGGTGTTTTCATTCCTGACTCTCCTTCAATCAGACTGCCACGCATAAAACTGTTGTTTTGCCGTTCATAATGTTGTCAGCGTTCCAGTGTGGACTGTGTACTTATGACATGCCTCGGCTTGGACTAGCCACAGTTCAAGTGCTGGATATCTCGGTGGCTAGTGGCTTCTGCTCAGCACAGGAAGGCAGGGACTTCACTACTTCATTCCGGCCTGTCAGCTCTGCAGCAGACAGCAAATGCAGGTTAGGGACTAACCCTTTCATGGAGGCTCCCAAAGGTATAGGAAACTTCTGGACTGTGAAAAAACAATGCACCACTCATCCTCTTTAAGCTTCTAGCAGTCTCTGACTCTGCTCATTTATAGGTTCAGTGCCTTTTTATTTTTTAAAATATATCGTAGTTATATGTCAGCTTTCTGCTTGACATTGCTTCTGGTGCTGAGAGTATAGGAGTGAGGAAAATTAACACAAATCCTCGCTCTGGAAGTTTCCATCCTGAGAGCAGTGGGGACCGATAACAAGATGAAATAAGTGAAATCAGCAGCATGCTAATAAGTGAAAAAGGCTCCCGAACAGGAGTGGTAGGGCAGGAGGATGTGAAGGCCCCACCTCACTCCCTTGTCTGAAGCCTAGGGTTCCTTCCTTCTCCCTGGTATCTGCCCTGCTGAGTTCCTGCCTTTGGGACCCTCACCCACCACTTCAGTGTCTTCTGGCTTCTCTTTTACCACTCCCTCCCAAAAGGTAAGTCCTCCTCCAGCTCTCCCTCCACACTATCCCTGCCCTGCCTTTCTGGATTAATTCCATCTACTCCAGTGCCTGCAATTCTCAGTTCACTGAAAGACTCCCTGAACCCCATCCCCAGCTTAATGCTACTTCTCAGTTCAGGAGCTCAAAACTACCGTTTGGCCAGGACATTCACATAATGCATAGATCTCTATGAAATGTAGCTTGTTTATCAGAAAAGGAGACCAGAATTTAAGGGCATTAGAATTATGACATCGCTCAGGGTTTCCACTAAAGAACTATTTCTCTTATCTACTAGCAAGGAACTTTATTTTTTCATGAGCATCCTAAGCAGAGGTACCAGGTTGAAAGGTCCAGTCAGTTTTATCAACTAGCTGATATGGTAGAAGTGTTAGGAATTATGTTATAATGTTATGTGTAGTTACATAAAAAGGATCCATCTCTGAGCAGGTATTTTGTGCTCAATATATTTTTTCTTGTGTCACTACTTTCCTGCCCTGTGGTCCTTCGATGACCAGATGGAGCCAGGACTTCTGATGGGAAGACCATACCAGCCTCACTATGATGAGATACAAAAGCTTGATACATTTTCTGTCAGTCTTACTTATCCTTGCAGGTTCCCTACCTTGGTAAATGACATGACTCATCTCCTTGTTTCTGTGGCTAGAAATCTTGGTGTTCTCATCCTCAAATACCCCCGGATCATTCAAGTCTTCATCAGGCAGGCGGATATGGGGCCAGATGGGCCAAGACCATTTGTTTTCTGCTTCCCTATGACTTCTCTCATGTTAAATGAGCTACTAATAATACTAATAATAGGAATATTATGTCTTATGACTGTTGGGAGACCACAGCCAGCCACAATTCCTCATGAAATCAAATTCTTAATCAAGATCAGCTACCATTGACCTCAACCAGTCTTCCCAGCTCTGATTTACTATCAGCTTCCCTGCTTTCTGCATTGAAATGTCCTTGCTTCTATTTTTTTCAATTAATAGTCTACTGTTCCTCCAAAGCCCATTTCCATGAAAACTACCTCAAATCACCCTTGTTGGACCCTCTTGACCCAAACTTTCTCTTTCACAGAAACTGGAATGTCTATAGATGTAGTCGTTTCCTCCGTGCTGAATGAGTTCTGTGCTGAATGAGCCTCCCTTCCAAGTGTCAGCCCATCAGTGATGTGGGCTGCATCTCACTCACTGTCTTGTTCCTAATATGTCAAGTGTACACCTGCACCGGGCAACGCAGGACACCTTCAAATGTTAGGTGAAGAGAATTCTTTGGCTAAGTTGGCAGCATGTTACATGTCAGCCTTCTATCAGACAGTGAGAGAGGAACTCAGTGTGGTACACAGAGGAGTGGTTTTATCAGTAACAGTTACTGCTGCTTGATTATCAGAAGCCAGAGAGGGATCTGGGGAGAGAGCTCAGTTGGTAAAGTGCTTGCTATACAAGCATAGGACCTGAGTTAAATCTCAGAACCCGTGTAAAAAGCTGGGCACAGGTTCACACCTATAATCCCAGGACTGAGGAGGTAGAAACTGGAGGATCCTTAGGGCTTGTTGGCCAATCTGGCCCAAGTAGTAAGCTCCAGGTTGAGTAAGAGGCTCAGCCTCAAGAAATAAGGTGTGATGCTCCTGGGGAATGACACCCGAGGTTGTCCTCTGGCCTCCACGTGTACATGAATTCACTTGTATGCACACTGACACATACATGTACACATACCACACACACACACACACACACACACACACACACACACACACACACTTCCAGGGAGGAGAATGGATCTTACTTGACTCCTCTCCTTCCCTCATGGACTGCTCTATGGCAGCCCTGATGCAGAGCTCCCGGGCCCGAATCCCTGGGATGTTGTTGCTGTCTGACATGGCTTCCAGGACAACAGAGTCAATGTTCAAGCAGGCTGCATTGTAGTACTTGGCCATGCTGATGGCATTGGCTGTCTTTCCTGTGAAAAGGGCCAGGGATTGAATTGCATGGTTCTCACTTGCTCAGTGACAAACACAGAAGCCTATAGAACAGAGGGCCCCCATGGAGGGATTTCTAAGTGTTTTGCGACCAAGTCTCTTGAATGGCTAGAACTTGCAGCAGCAAAGAAGCTCAGCACTGTGAGTCAGAGCTGCAGATGTGTTCCTAATCCCACCACTGAGGCACGTGGGCATGGGCCACACCCTTGCTGGGTTTTCTCCTCAGGTTATAAAGCACATCCTACCAGGTGCTCCTTAAAGTACTGTATAATCCCTGCTGTCTTTGAGTCTATAGGAAGACACTTTTGATTTAAAGAATAACCCATATTGACTTTGTTTTTCTCATTTCAACATACTTCCATTAAAAAGCAGAAAATTCAGAAATAACAGATAAGAGCAAAGAAAAAGGATTTATAACCCACTTATACTGAGATATCCTAGTTGGCCTATTGCTGCTAAGCTGGCACATATAATGACACTATTTATATTTCTCATTGAAAGAAATGGGAGTGTGGCTGGGGATGTAGGTCAGTTAGTAGAGTGCTTGTCTAACATGCACGAATCCCTGGGTTTGATCACTAGCATCTCATAAACTGGGCATGGTGGTATGCACCTACAATCCCAACACTTGGATGTGGTGGCAGGAGGATCAGAAGTTCAAGGTCATCTTCAGCTGTATAGGAGTTTGGGCCAGCCTGAACTAGAGACCCTGTCTAACAAGAAAAGAAAGAAAAAGAATTCATGAAATGGGTTACCCAAGAGGCTAAGGTCATCTTCAGCTGTATAGGAGTTTGGGCCAGCCTGAACTAGAGACCCTAACAAGAAAAGAAAGAAAAAGAATTCGTGAAATGGGTTACCCAAGAGGCCGAATTATAGCCCCTAATTATGTGTCTGTCCCAGTCCTTGGAATCTGTAAGCATGTTACCATATACTGTAAAAAGACTTTGCAGATGTGATCAGTTTATAGACTCTAACATGGGAGATGACCCTGGATTATTTGAATAGCCTCAGTCTTATCACAGGGGTCCTTAGAAGAAAAAAAGCAGGAGGATTGGAGTCAGAGCCATTGATGTGAAGCAAGAGCAAGATACTGGGAAACTGCCCCGCTGACTGTGAGGATGGAGGGCGTCATCCTGAGCCCAAATTGAGGTAATGTTTCTAGAAGACAAGCAAATGGATTGTTCACTAGCACCTTGTAAAAGGAACACAGACCTGCTGACCTCTTTAAGATGAATGGACTCCAGACTGAGGGTAAATCTGTGTTGTTTCAAGCCACTGAATTTGTGGTAATTTGTTATAGAAGCAATAAACTAATATAAATTACAAATCATAAGCTTGACATTTTCTCTTTATGGAAAATAGTACGTCTCCAATGTTTCTTTTCTAAACTTTATTTATTTATTTATTTCTCTCTCTGTGTGCGTGCGTGTGTGTGTGTGTGTGTGTGTGTGTGTGTGTGTGTGTATACATTTACCATGCCAGCATGTGTGGAGGCTAGAGGGTGATGTCCAGGATCTCTTTCGTTCTTTTTCCACCTTATTTTTTGACAGTGTCTCTTACTGAGACTGAGGCTCACTGTTTTGTCTAGACCGTCTGGTCAGTGAGCCCCTGGGACCCAACTATCTTTGCTTCTAACATTGGGTTACAGTCATGGACCATTGTGCCTGGCTTTTATGTAGGTTCTGGGGATCTGAACTCAGGTCCTCATGCTTGCTTAGCATGCACTTTAACCACTGAATCATCTCCCCAGCCCTGAATAGCTCCTTTCTTTTTATTGTAATACACTTGCATGTCACTGTTTTTCTAACTGTGGTAAAATATACACAAAACCATTTTAATTTCTTTTTTAATCTGCTTTTTGGAGACAGGGTCTCTGGGCAATTACCCATGGTTACTCTGGTATGCTGTTCCTCAAATGAGATTGTTACTCTCTGCCCTGACCACATAGCCAATGGTGCCATGGTCCTTTATGGAAGAGACATGGCATCTGAGATCACAACGGCCTCTCAGAATTGTCACATACCTGACAAGGGTGTTCCATGGATGATAATGGCGATACCTTTCCGGTTCTTGGCCAGGCGGCCTTCTGCAGAAATGTCGATGCCCAGGTGGCGAGCAATTGCTTTATTCACTGGGTTATTTTCTACCTCTCCAACTTCCTCTGCAGATTGGCTATCAGTGCTCTGGATCTTGTTAGCTGCAAATTAAAGATACTGTGAGTGTGTGTGTGTGTGTGTGTGTGTGTGTGTATGTGTATACATGTGCATGTATGTGTACATCTAAGAATTTACATGGGTACTGATGGAGATGGAAATGAATTTTTCTTTTAAAATAATTGCATTTCAAGATGCCCAATTCTGTAGTGTATGAAGATACCATTTTTGGCTAATAATTTTTCCCTACTTATGTCTGAGTTTCTTCCTGCCTTTTAATTTAATTGGTTGAGAAAACAAACCTGAACCAGACCCCTAAATCTTTATTTCTGCCCAGATAGAACTGGTCCCCCAACACTAAAATACTCAGTTACTTTGAAATGTTAGTTTTTTCAGGCTTTCCTCATCCTCATCTTCATCTGGGTAGCTCTTGGAATCAGTCATAAAGTGGCGCTCTTCCAGGTTGGGTGTGGCAGAGATCCCTCGGCTAATTGATGTCCTCTTTGTGCTGGTGGAGGTTCCCTGATCTGATGTGGGCATATCTTCCTCCTCTGTGAGGGAGCAAAGGATGAAAGCATGGGAAAAAGTTGGGAGGAGAGAAAGGGGCCGGACTATCCAATCCTAACATGCAAGAACATCAGTCAGTTGGCAGTCTAGAACTTTCTCTGCACATGGTGTTTCTGCATTTTAACATTTGGTTAGATACTGAAATTATACATTTGTTCAGGAAATTTTGAGAGCTCAGAAGAGTCCCTACTTATAAAGTCCAATTGTCAAAAGAACTCGAGATAGAAAAATGGTAATTGAAACTGGATTTTATAATGCCAGCACAGGAGGATCTCACTATGAAGCCCAGCTGGCCTGGAACTTACCATGTAGACAATCCCAGGTTAGCCTAGATCTTACATTGATCTACCTACTTTTCTCCCCTGAGTGCTGGGATTAAAGGCATATGCACCATGCTCAGCTTAGATTTTAATTTTCAATTTTCCTGCATTATGCTGATTTCACACTGTACACACCAGCCTGGAGCCTGCGTTTCCTCCTTAACTTCTCATTAACATTTCCCCCTGTCATTGTTAAGCACATTGAGCATTTTGTCAGACCAGAACCCACCTTATTGCCCCCCTTCCAGAACATCTCAGTGGGTACAGTAGTCTGACAACACAAGGTGATCCCTTCTAACTTAGGCAAGATATCCATGTTGTTGAGACTTGAGATATGACTGGAGGCAGCTGCCCTTCCTGAATCATGGTCAGGGAAGTCACAGAAGAAGGGTGCATAGCATGAGAGCAGTGCGAGCAGGTGCTAAGTGAGGCATTGGTGGGAAGCAGAGAAGGTGCACCCTAGGTTCCCACTATAGCCACCAGCCTTGGCTCTGCACCACTTTCCACTGGGACAAATGGAAAAGCAAACCCATAACTTTGGTTTGTATGGACTTTGAGAGCGCCAAGGCTCTTATCTGCCTCTTTGAGGTCCTTTATACAAAGCAGCCCCTTGGTGTCTCCTGCCTTAGGCCACTGGGCATTTCCTCTGAGTTGATCTGCCTCTCCTCTTCCTGACTGCTAGCTCTCCAAAGGGGCAGAGCCTTGTGCTGTTTATTTTTTCCCAGCCTTTTTAATATCTCAGAAGGTGACTTTATCTGAAAATAAGTCCTTTAAATAGGCAACGTTTTGAGGCGATCATATGGCTGTATCCTGATTCAATGCAACTGGTATTAGCATAAGAAAAGATTAGTATAGACACTGCAGTGGGAGGACCCAGGAGGAAGAGAGAACTATCCACAGAAGACGGGTTTCAGAAGGAACCAATCCTGACGATACCTTAAGCAGTGATGTCTAGCATCAAAATTATGAGTGCTGTCTGGTCTGTGGTATTTATAATGACAGCTCCATTAAACTAATGCAGTGCTCAGCAAACATGACCAGGATACCAAGTGGAGGGGCAGCCTTTATTGCGGGCCAAGTGAATATTCTCCAACCAGGTACGTTTTCCTTGAGAGACCATGGGGCAGGAGGAGCAGATTCTATTCAGTCCTTCAGTTTATCTTTCATACACCACACACTGTAAAGCACTGTCAAGTCTTGGTTGCTGTCCCATATACTAGGTTTACAAATAAGGACTATGTGATGACTAGTCATGGGTGTGCCTCTGTGTGTGCATGTATGTGTGTGTATGTAAGAGAGAATGAATATGAATGCATTCATGCCATGGCACACATGAAGAGATCAGAGGAAACCATGAGTGTTAGTCTTTGCCTTCCACCCTTTACACGGGTTCTGGGGATCTGAATTCTGGTCCTCATACTTGTGTGGCATTTTATTCACTGAGCTGTCTCCTCAGCCCTGTGATATCGCTTTTGATGGGAACTTCTTGTCTACCGGGACACACAAGTATGAAAAAAAGAATCACACATGTGAAGACTGTGACACCGAAGACAGTGAGAATGGGCTGGGAACATTTCCAGTATTAGGGATGGAAAAGAGGGAGGAGAGGGCCCAGGATCACGAGCCACATAGTCCTACACATCAGAAAGGAGGCCCTTCTGCTCAAGCACAAGAAAGGTTTAAGAGATAAGAAGGTTCAGGGCTGCCGGACCAGAAAGGCAAGATTATGAGAAGGCAGGGTATCTCATGATTGGCCCTGAGGACCATGGAGGGGCTGACCTTCTCTCAGGTAAATTCCCCTGATCCCATCATTTACCTTTCTGAGGGCACCAATATCTACCTTGTGTGATGCACTGCTTTCTATTACCTCAGCATGTCCTTAGGAAACAGTGCCACATAGTGACAGCCATTAGTTAGCCATTAGCCATGGTCTCCAGGGTCAAAAGATTTGGACTAAAATCTGTTTCTGCTGTTTACAACTATGGACCTGGACTCTGTGCAAATCCCTTGGCTCAGTATTTAGCACATAGTCTCTTACCTACATTAGCCATTTTGAAGTCTCAGTACCCCACTGGCCTCTAGTGAGAGCAGACTGTGTCCTAGCCTCTGCACCTTTAATATTGAGATTGTTTTGTAAGTGTCTTGAACAGGATAGAAAAGGTACCTGGCAACTGGCAGGTGCTCAGGAGCTGTCTGGTGCCAAGACAGGGGTAATTCAATGAGACTGGAGGAATGGCTAGAGCCCAGGGTATTTCATACTGAATTCTCACCGTTATCCTGTGTCACAGTCTCCATATATTTTGCCTTCAACTGCTCTTCTTTTGACTTCTCCACTTCCTTAAAGTACTCGTATACTTCTTGGGGCAGGTTTTCCCCAGGGTTGCGGGGAGGCAGCAGCAGGGTGTTGTAGGAATCATAGTCCTTCAGTTGTCGCAACATCTGCTCAAGGGGAGGATGAGGATGGGGCATAATTATACTATGTTTTATTTAGGTGAAATTAAAATTTAATTTCACATGCTTTTTCCCTCCTAAATCTGCCATGTATATTTCAAAAATATAACAAAATGAAGTTCTAGAAAGAATGGGCTTCTAGAATCTTGCATTGATGTGACAATCTGTATGTGAACCTTCTCAAAGATCTCCATTTTCAGTTATTTGAAAGCAAAGCCCTCGTTAGTGAGCTCTTTTAAAAGAATACGGAAGGGAAAGAGGTCAAGGACATTTAAAACATCTGTGAAGAATAAAGAGCAGGGCTTGTCCTCTCTCTTATTACAGACTTACCATGAAGCTCCAATCAAAGGGAATGGTGCTGATGTTGGGATAGACATACTGACCAATGAAATAGAAGACATTCAGTGTAGATGTATTTACCCATTGGAAGATACAAAGGCTGAGTGGGAGAGGGTCCAGAGAAAACAGAACCATCTTCTCTAAGCTATTCCCAAATTTGTGATCCACAGAAACCATGAGGTAGCAAATATTTATTGTCTTAAGTTGCTGAGTTTTGGGGTAATTTGTCATGCAGGAAAGACAACTAACACAGCACCAGACTTCATGAATGGCAATAGTTTACCAGAAGACAATGGAGCATCACATTTAAGATACTCAAGTAAAGTAAATGTGAGCTAAGGACATTGTATGCATCAAAATAATCTTCAATTGTAAGACTATAAAAACTCGATGTAATTATGAAATAAAGCAAGTCATAAACTGAAAAAACCAAAGGAAATATATGCCAAGTCACATGATAGTCAAATGACAGGAAAAGAAAGATTCTTGGGGTGGGGAAGAGAGAGAGAGAGAGAGAGAGAGAGAGAGAGAGAGAGAGAGAGAGAGAGAGAAATGTTAACAATTCAGTGACATTGAGTTTTCCATCAGACCTTGGAGGCTGGAAGATGGCATATTTTTCAAGGGGCAGAAGAACCATTGGTCCAGAATTCTATATCCAGTTAAAAAGTTCTTCAAGAATGAACAATGGAGAGATGGAGACATTCTCAGATGAAGGAAAGTGAAGAAAATTTCACCAGAAAACCCACCTTGAAGGATAACTAATAGAAAGGGGATGGCAGGGGCAAATATGAGCAACTTGCAAGGACAATATATCTGAAAATGTCATAGTAAAGCTCATTATTTTGTATGCTAACTAAAATTAACAATAAACAAAATAACTAACACTGGATCTTTAAGTGGAAAGAATGTAGTAAAAGAAGAGATCTTAGAGTCTCAGAAAGAAAATGATGAACAATGGAAAGAGTAAAAAAGTATGTCTCCTTCTTCCCTGGAGTTTCCCAACAAAACTAGAATTCTCTCTCATATAAGGAGATATTCAAGACAGTTATATTAAGAATGAGGAGGGTAAATCCCAGTTGGCCATGACAAGTTATATAAGCATAATACAGTGTGTACAGCAATAGCTAAAGTAGCTATATAAAGGGGCATACTAAAATGGTCTAGGTAAATCAAGATAGAATTCTAGACAGTATTGAAAGAACCGATAAGAAGGCAGAAAAGTATACAGAGAAGAAAAAACAAAAACAACAAAACAATAAAGTGGCAGGTGTAAGCCCTAACATACAAACAATTACATTAAATGTAAATGGTCTAAACATATAAACTAAAGACAGAGATTGACAGGGTATATGTGTGTATATCTCTGTGTATGTACATATTTGTGCACATGAATGTGTGCACACACATACATGTGTGCATGTATGTGTGGAGTGCAGCAGTCAATGCTTAGTATTTTTCTCAATCACTCTCCACTTTAGTTTTTGAGTCAGGGTCTCTCACTGATTCAGCTAGACTATCTGATCAACAAGCCACAAGTAATACTTGTCTCTGCCTGACCAATGCTTAGATTATAGGTGTGCACTACCACTGTGCCTGACATTTAATTGAGTTTGTATACATTTCATACAATAAATATTAATCGTATTTAGACTCCTCTCCCCCATCCACCCTTCCCAAAGTCTCTGCCACAGTACGTCATACATTCTGTCATATATATCAAGGTCTATCAGGAACATTTGTACCCAGATGTTCCTTGGTGCAAGTTAATCTACTGGCATCTAGTCAGCCTATCTAGAGTCACTGCCTTAAAGAAGATCAACTCACCCTCACCTGGCAGTAATCAGTTGCCAATAGTTTGTTGGCTAAGGTTGGGGCTTCTTATCCATTTCTCTAGTTCTATGCTGGATTTTTGTCTGGTTTAAGTTTGCATGGGTCCTATGCATGCTGTCGCCATTGTTGTAAGTTCATATGAGCAAGTTCCTCAAAGCCTGGAAAACTCTGTTCCCTTGTGGTCATCCACACCCCTGGCTCTTACAACCCTTCCATCTCCTCTTCCACAACTGTCCCTGAGCCCTGGGGTGGCTGAAGTTAACTATAGGAGTCCTGTCCAGTGACACTCTGCAGTCTCTTATTCTCTATACTTTGGCCAGTGTGGCTTTTGTGTTAATCACCCTCTATTGCACGAGGAAGGTTGGTTGGTGAGAGTTGAGAGATGAATTAGTATTCTCTCTACCCCCTGTTCTGCTATGTTTCCTGAGACTTAGGCATAAAGGTTCCACTGTAGATGTGCCGCTTAGGGCTGTGTGCCCGGCTTTTTTTATGTGGGTGCTGGGGATTGAACTCAGGTTCTCATGCTTTTGAGGAAAGTATTTCACTGGCTGAGCCATCTCTCCAGTTCATATTTTTTAAATGTCTTAATTCCAGGCAGTCTTCAAGAAACTCCTTCAAATATAATGATGTGGGAGAATTGTTACACAGAGTTCTTTACTATACAAATATTAACCATAAACACACACTGGTTTTTAAAATTTTGTTGTTTAAAATGCATTTTGGAATTACAAAGAAGCAATAAATTCTCTTCAGGGGAAAAGAAACAGGCCAGGAAAGCTTACAAAGTGGGGATCAGAAAAATGGTAAGGAAGAACTAATGGAGAAAGAGGAGGGAAAGGCCTAAGGGAAAGTCCTCCATGTAAATGGAAGAGCACGAATCAGTGACTGTGCCCAGCATATAGGGAGATGGAGTTTGGTTTTGGTCTCTGCTTACCTTCTCTTCTAAGAGATACTGTTGGTCAAATTCTACGGAGTAAAACTCAATTGGGAAGGTGCAGGGATTCCTCACAATCACCTTGGCCTCATCTCCAGTTGCATAAGGCAGCAGTGGCCCCAGTTCTAAAACTGAAGGGCTGAATTCCAGGCGTGGCTCCAGACCTTGCCCCTGTGCCAGCAGCACAAGCTGCTGAGTGCTCTGACCAATCTGGAACAGCAGGGTTTGGCTGTAGAACTTCTAGAAAATAGGAAAACAAAAGCATCTGATTTTTTTTTTCTGCCACATGGTATGTAAAGCTAAAAACCACCAAGAGACCCAAACTTCTTCTCTTCAGATGAAGGGACGCAATACTTTCCTTATAAAGTAGCTCAGGAGGAACTACTGTAATGGGGTATTTAAATGCTGGGTATCTAGCATACTGGGCACTGTACCAAGGGCTTGTTCACTTGTAGCAGGCTTTCTAAGTGTCACCTTCATGTCTCTCAGAGCTTCCTGTGTGTTCCGACTTCCAATTGCCACCATCTGTAGCTCTGGACCCGAGGCTGCCATTTTCCATGGGCAGCAGAGGGCACATCAGAAAAATTGAGAGGCTGAGTCTGAAATGGGCAGCAGGCCCCAACCTTAGCCAAGGAACAGTTGGCAACTGATCACTGCTGGATGAGGGAGAGTTGATCTTCCTTAAGGGAGTGATTCTAGATAAGCTAGCTAGACTCCAGTAGACAAACTTTCACTGAGGGACATCCAGGCATAAAAGCTTGACTCGTTATACTTTAACATACATGACAGAATACATGAAATCTGAAACGGAGGCTTTGGGGGTGCCGATTGGGGAGGGCGGTCTAAATGTGGTTAATATTTATTGTATGAAATACACAAAAATCAATAAAAATATATATTAAAAAATAGAATAGCTTTCAGGGAGCAATAACCTCCACCACAGATCCTCAGAAACACAGCGTAAATACCCCATCTCCCTTGCTAGTGGGAAGGATTATTTTGAAATGTGTGCTTTGATTTACCCTCCCCTCCAACCCCAGAATATGGCAGAATGTAAGAGTTAGGGCATAAGAATGTGGGCTCAAGGGCTGGGACCAGAGTACAGTGGTAGAGCCCTTGCCCAGCACGCACGAGGCCCAAGTGTTCAATTCCTATCATCCTCACACATACAAAATGCAGCTGCATCCCTAGACTCTACAGAGGCAGAGCAAGGCTAGAGAGTCTGCACTTCAGCCAGTCCCCAAGGTGATTCTGATACATGGAGTCATGGCTTGGGTTTGGGGATATGAATGGCTTCACAATTTGAGGTCCTGATTATCTTAGCTAAAAGGGGAAAGTTAGTTGGATGGAATGTATATGGAAATATTCACATACACAGAAAAGTATCTACTGCTGGAAACAATAAAATTAACCGAGAGGGCTTTCTATGTAAATATGAACTTTACAGCTCATGATTCAAACCTTACACTTTTTACTTATATTTATATAAGTATTCTAGATTCATGTTATAATGTCTTAAGAGTTACTGGTGGGTGAGAATTATATTGGTTTTAGGGCTAGTCAGTTACTTGTACATAGCAAAAGAAGTTCTACTTGGTGGAAACATAGGATTTATTTTGTGCAATTCCAATTCAGTATTTATGGACCCATATGAACAAATAAACCTATCTATCTTGGTACATGTAGTGATGTTTTCCTTGTTCCAGACTGGTACAAATCCAAAACCAGGCTAAGGATGTAGCTCAGTGATGGAAATACTTGCCTGGAGTGCACAACACCCTAGGTTCAGACCTCAGTACCACAAAGAAAATAATAAAATAAATTCTGAATGTTGAGTTAACTTTCAATAGTCTCAAGACGCTCTTAAGAATGACAAACACATTACTAATTTTCTTCCCAAAAGGACTGGGGAAGGAAAAGGAAAAACACCTTAATATACAAATTACAGCACCATCATGGAAAGCTCAAAGGTGTAATTCATTGTAAAGTTCAGTGAGAGGCCCGCAGTCACATCACCTAGATCTCCCATCCTGTGCCTCTGCAGTGTAGCTACCCTGATCTAACTGTGAGAATCCAGAGCTAACCCCGGCCCCCCACAGAGGTGCCCAGCAGGATGTTACTTCCTATTTCCCACATCTAGAAACAAGCAAACCTGACACAGACAGATGGGACTGTCCAAGGCCAGAGTTGCTGAAATTCAGGCAAGCAGGAGGCTAAGGTAATAAAATTAAAATCTTAGATATCAATCTTTAATTCATCAAAAGCAGACCCCAACAAAACTAGAAGTCAAGGCTGGAGCATGGTGACACATGCTTGTCACCCGAGCCTAGGGAGACGGAGGCAGGAAGGACTGCCACAAGTCAAAGGCCAGCCTGGGCTACCGACTGAGATGTCTCAAAAAGCAAAACAAACAAAAGGGATAATGTCAGCCTGGCTTTGTGGTACAGCCTCTGATCCCAGCATCGAAGAGGAAGAGGCAGGAGGATCTCTGGGTTTATAGTGAGTTCCAGGCCAGCTGGAGCTACATAGTGAGACCCTGTCTCAAAAGTTAAAAAAGAAATAAAGGAAGAAAAATTCGGTGGGCAAGATTACTTACTGTTGGGGCTGGAGAGATGGCTCATCGGTTAAGAGCACTGGCTGCTCTTGCAGAAGACCTGGGTTTGATTCCTAGCACCCACATGGCAGCTAACAACTAAGTGTAACTCTAGTTCTGGAGATTCAACACCCTCTTCTGGCCTCTGTTGGCATTGCATGACATGGGTGTACTTACATACATACAGGCAAAATATTCATACACATAAAATAAAACTAAAAAGTAGGGCTGGAGAGATGGCTCAGTGGTTAAGAGCGCTGACT